CATTGTTTGGGGGAGGTTTGGGCCATGTGACCTGGTTGGAAGAAGTGTGTCTCTTGTGGCTGGCTTTGAGAGTTAAAAAGACTCAACATACTTCCAGTTTGCCCATTCTTTGCTTGTCTTTGAAGATGTAGCTCTCAATCTCTGGCTTCTGCACCCATGCCTCCCTGCTTCAATGCCACCCTGCCATGATGGGCTCTTGTACAAGCCAAAATAAACGCCTCTTTCTGTACATTCCTTTGGTCATGGGATTTCATCACAACAGGAAAGTAGCTAATATCATTGGTTTTTTTTTTTTAATTCATGGAACTTGGTGTATACTATCAGTGAAAGTAAGTTAGGTCCTATTCTTAGAAGCTTCACATTTACACATAGCAGAAACAATTGGTGTCTGAAAAGACTGCATAGGCTCATCTCTTGTGATTGAGCCTTCATGCTGGATCTCAGAATTCACACCTATTTACTTTGGTTGAGTAGAGTACCAATTGACGAAACCTGGACTCGAAGATCATAAGAATCTAGATGTGTCATCTGTTTTCCTGTATCTGAACCAATGTTGAAATGGTTTCACTCTTAACTATTCGGTCCCATTTCTGTATGGAACCTCCATGTTTTTCACCCTGTACTGGAAAACCCAGAACTGGACTGCATGAAAAGAACCACATTATGCGATGAAGTGTGCTTGGGTTTTGTCTTTTAACTTGCCTTAGTATTCCAGACCTTAGTGCTCCCACTAGTCCTATTTATTTTAAAAGTGGGAGAAGAGTTAAGTAGTTAAGTCTTGTTTAACCTGAATAGTTATGGAGCTGGATGGAGAGAGAACTTTTGAAGATCTCAAAGTTTAAGAACAAAGGAATTCACATTTTTGTTCTGAATTGACTTCTAAGCTTTATCTCAACATCTAGTTTCTTATCTGTGATATATAAATCATTTCAACTGTTCATAAGTTTGAGGTAGGGAGGGAATTGTTTTTGTAGTTTATTTGTAAATACAAAATTGCTTTCTGTACATCAGAGACACAGTTCCTACATTCCTGTTGGGTTATTAAGTTATTCATTCTTGTTCAGAACCACCAGGAGTGACCTGTGTGGCTTACCAATTTTATAAAGCTTTACATGTGCATGGAAATCGTAAGAGGAGAAGTTGTTTCAGAGACTATTAACCCATCAGGTTAGCAAGTTTTTAAATGTCAGCGTGTAAGAATTACGGAACTTTTTTAAACCACAAAAGTGTTTGGTCTTAGTTTGTCATAAGGACCTGACACACCCAGTTTATACAGGATGGATGTTGATAGAAGCCGCCAGTTGCTTTGCCGCTGGGCCATGTTGTATGTCTGCTGGAATAGCATGTGAGGGCGGAGTGGACATCTAGTCAGTATAAAAGCCATTGGTTCTTAGAAACAACAGAGGTACTGGCTCAGGTGGGCATGTGATCACACTGTTCATTCATGAGTTGTTCATGTTTTAAATGTAAAATGTGTAAGAAGGAGTGAAAATATACAGCTCTTCCAGCGATCGGTCCTTATACTTCTGACTCTGTTGATTTTATACAAACAACTTTTGTTTCCTTGCAGTGCTAGAGATGGAACCTAGCCCCTCAGCATGCCAGGCAAGGACTGCCATTGAACTACCCTCCCCAGCCCTTCACTGTGGATTTAAGTATCTTCATGAGGATATTAAGGTCGAAAGTAGTAGTAAAATTTGCGTTTCGTTAGTGTGGTCGTTTGAATGTAATTGGCCCTCATCATCTCATAGGGAGTGGCACTATTAGGAGGTGTGGGTTTGTTGGAGTGGGTGTGGCCTTGTTGGAGGAAGCGTGTCACTGTGGGGTGGGCCTTGAGGTTTCCTGTGCTCAGGATTCCGCCCAGTGTGTCAGTCAATTTCCTGTTGCCTGCACGATGTAGGACTCTCAGCTATCTCTAGCACCACCTCTGCCTGCATGCCACCATGCTCCCTGCCATGATGATAATTGACTGAACCTCTGAAACCATAAGCAAGCCCTCTCAAGTAAATGTTTTCCATATAAGAGTTGCCGAGGTCATGGTGTCTCTTCACTGCAATAAAAACCCTAAGACAGTCTCTTGTCAAAGAGGTTTGACCCATAATAATTTATTAGAAAGATAGAGACTGAATTTTTAAACAATAACGGTGTTTCCCTGGACCTCCATTGTCATCATGTCTTGGGGCTGTCAGTGATGCACTTTCAGATTTTACATGCTTCTTAAGTCAACACAAAGAAGACTGTGATCACCCATTCATTTCAGGTAAGGGCTTGTCTCATACCTCCATTTTACAGTTTTTCCTCCAGGTGCTTAGGAAGGAAGTTAAAATAGATTTTTTTTTCAAGAAACAGTATACTTTCTCACATATAAAAATGACAGTCAAGAAGTAATCATTTGTATATTGACTTACCCAAATTAAAAACATTTTGATACTGCTTATGCTACACATGACGCCCCAGCCACCTCACTCAGAAAGGGGCTCAGCATAGATCCGAGGTTCGGGATTACACAGGGCTGCAGTGCTTGCATAAGCCCGGGCATCTGGTAGCCCCTGTGCCCCAGGACTGCTGTAGAGAGCAAGGTATCCAGACTTGGTGGTCTGTTTGCCCTCAGATCCACCAGCACCATCTCTCCGGGGTGAAATCCAGGTCACACCTACTCAGGATCAAGTATTTGGTTTGACGTTTCCAGTGTTGTTATTTTATTTCCCCAAATTGTATGTCAAAATTTTGGGAAATTCTCACTATTTCACCTTGGAAGGTTTATATACACCAATTTACTGGGTTAACTAAATAGTTAATTTGTTGGGAGAATACAACCAAGAGTGTACTTTGTTGAATTGGTCGGCTGTAATATTAAGAGCTAACAAATCACTTGGAAAAAGGCAGATTATGCTGGATTGTTTTTAATTTACTAATCAGTTTTCTGAGTGACATGCTCAGTGGTGCTGTTGCAAGTTTCTGTTGTGTTTTTTCTGTAATCTATTAAATGTAAATTAAAAGTGTTTCTAATGGTGTGCATCTGGAAGGGTGCTGTTTTGCTCTTATTTCAGCATTTCAAGGCAGGGGAGCCTTGTGCACATACAAGAGTTGGTAAATGGACATCATCCCAAGGCTTCCTAAAAAGGAACACCACCCTTCAGCAAATCCTTTGTTCAGAAAAATTATGCCTTATCTAACTGTACAGACTAGCAGCGTGCAAGGCCCTGATTCCCGGATCTGTTTTCGTTCTAGGAAGCCTCTCACATTAGCTTTCAGGTGCATGTATTCTTTTGATACTGTGGCATCATGCCATCTACAGAGTTTGCACTGGAGGACTATATAACCAGAAACGACATCGTAGTTAAGCTGATGGTTTTGTTTGGGCTGCATTCATAGCTACCCTGGGATGTGCAGAACACAGGGGCTGTAGGTTGACTATGCCTAGAATATGTGAATCTGACAGGTTGCTGGAAAATGAGCTGCAGGAACTCATTAGGGTCAGAATGGAATCTCATTGCAGCAGATGCTCAGCAACCCTTCAAGGTCAGGGAACACCATAGGATGCTTTCTGGCCTCTGTCCTAGTCTGTTCAGTGGTCAAGTGCTCATTGCCTTATCGGAGCCTACACGATTACTGGATTTAATTGTTGGGCAATTAATCTAATCATCAGAGACTGCTTCATTGAGAGACAGCATAGTCTAGTCCTGGTGCCTCTCCTGGATGAGCAGTATCATTCAGGCTTTAACTGAGTATCCCATGCCACATCTACAAGATGCAAAGTCATTTGCTCAAGAACAGTTGAGGTACTGGGGAGTTGCTCAACACTTGCTGTACAGAGTTCAGATCCACAGCACCCATGTGAAAAACGAGGCACGATGTCACACACCTATAATCCTAGCACCAGGGAGGCGGTGGCAGGAGGATCCCTGGAGCTCACTGGTCAGCTGGTCTTGCTGAGCTGATGTAATAGCTGTGTCATATTCAGAACACACATTCAGTACCCTACAATGCTGTAGCTGAACTGCTGCTAGAAGCCTGAAAGCTTAACCAGCCAAAAGCTTCTAGTTTCTGGTCCTCACACCTTTATATACCTTTCTGCTTTCTACCACCACTCCCTGGGATTAAAGGCTCACTTTCTGGGATTAAAGGTGTGAGTCACCATGCTTGGCTGTATCCTTGAACACATGGATTTCTGCCTCTGGAATGCTAGGATTAAAGGCGTGTGCTACCACTGCCTAACCTCTATGTTTAATATTGTGGCTGTTCTGTCTCTGACCCAGATGCATTTATTAGGGTGAACAATATTTTGGGGAACACAATACCACCACACCATACTTTCCCCATGCTTGGTTTCCATAGTCCTTCTACCCTCCCTTGCTTGGTGTCCTTGGGCCTCAGAGAAGGTGACACAGATGTCCCCCTTAGGGCCAAGCACTCAACAGTGACTTATTTCCAACACTAGTTATGAGACCCTGACTATGAGTTAGTTTGTTATGAGTCAACAAGTTATGAGTCCCCGCTTTGACCATCGCCCACTGCCGAAACAGGCTAAGAACTGCACTAGTCTATGGGTGTAAACAAAAGTATTTATAAGGCAATGTAGCTACAAGTTGGCAAAACATCAGTAGTACATTCCTGATAGGGCCTGTGTCCCACCTAGACATAAAAGTTTTGCCCAGGTCCGCAATGCCAGGCACAGATTCCATCCTGTGGAACAGTCCTCAAATCCAGTCAGGAAAGAATCGGTCACTCCCAGAACGTTCGCGTCACTTCTGCAGCAGTGGGCACATCTTGCCCGGTGATCAGTACTGGAGCGCACAGGATCTACAGGCGGCTATGATGGCTGATGACTGTCCTCCCGTCGGGTTTAGTCTCAGTTCGGCACTCTCTCTGCCTACACACCAAGCCACCCAATTCTACTCTGGTTGTAATGAAGTTACAAGGTTTATCCTTCTGCCTTAAGCAGCTATGAGTGAGGTAGGAAATAAAAACAATACAAGAAAATCGACAAAACCAAAATATGGTTGTTTGAGAAGTTTAATAAAACCAATGATCCACTAGCCATAATAATGGGGGGAGGGAAATCGGTGCACAAACAAACTGTACAGAAACTGAAAGATGTGACAAAGATATAGAATACAAAAGGATTATCCACAACACCATTCCAATAAGCTCAATACCAGTTTTCTTCAGAAGAGTTAAAACTGGAAAGAGCCCCAATATCCAGCCATTGGTGAACACGTAAGTAAGGTGTGCCATGTCCACACAAGGGAAATATTTGGCAGGAAGAAATGAAGTACCAATACAAATGGACTTTCAATGCTAACAATGTAAGCCAGTCACAAAGAACCACTTATATTAGTCTATTTGTAGGAAGTGTCCAGTTTAGGAAACCCTATAAAAAATACAGAAAGTAATAACAGCTACTTGTAGCGGATTGTACTGGATGGTTGTTTGAGCTATGCCCTTAAGCACCGCCCCAGTGAGGTAGCAGGTAATTGTTACACCTGCCTATGACCTTGAGGTACATGCCCCTGGGGCCTGGCCGCTGGGGGACCCTTAAGACCTGGGATGCATTAATGCACTCTCTCTTGGCTACCTCGTTTTTTTTGGATGCTGAGATCTTGGACCAGGCAGATCAGCGTGGGGCACAGTTCAATTTTCCCAGACCCTATGACAAATCTGTCATGGTTGTGAGTTAACCCCCAAATAAATCCCCTTGCTCATTAAATAGACTCTGTTGGTTAATCCCATTAGCCGATATCTGATCTATGACATAGCCCTAGGGATATCTGCCCTAAAGACATAGCAGGTAACTGCTCTACCTGCCTATGACGGTGAAGTACATGCCCTGGGGGCGTGGCCTCTTGGCTACCCTTAAGACCTGAGAGGCACACTCGCTTTGCTCCCTCTTGGGACTTGGATGCTGGGACAGTCTCAGGCGCAGAAGAGCAGCGTGGACTGTGCCTCACCTTTTCCAGGACCCTGCGACAATTCCTCTGTTCTGTTTTGTGAGCCTTCCTTTCTTAGTAAGTCCCTTTGCCCTTTAAGCAGACTCCGTGGATTTCTCGGATTAGCTACTAGGCTAGGGCAAAAGGAGAAGACCACTAAAGGGATTCTCTCAGGGAATACTAAAATATTCTAAACTAATTGTGTTGGTGCTTGCATAAATCTGTGAGCATTAAAAACCATTAAAGATAAACTTTAGATGTATGAATGCTATGATCTGTGAATTGATAAAGTTTAAAAAAACAGAGTGAGCAGAACAGGGTGAAAGAATGGATAGGACAAACAGACAGGAAAGGGCCTAATTCTCTTCAAAGGACATGCCATTCATTTTCTGTTTGCGCTGCTCTTGTTAAAATCCCTATGTTTGTATCACATAGAGACAGGAGCATCCCGTTAAATTTCCATCAGTGCCATCAGTTCTTAACCAGGAATGCTGTCAGGGAAGCTCTGTAAAGCACAAGCCCTGGCCACACATACCTGTCTGTGTCTGGGATTCAACCCAAGAGGCATGCTAAGCTGCCAAAGGACTGGTCCACACAGGCTGCCTTGGAGAATATGCCTCAGCTTTTATCATGCTTCTTGAACCAGGGCTGCCAGCTCGGGGAGGGTCCCCGTGCTTGTTTTTCGTAAGCCCAGCTCGTCACAGTCTTTGTTTGAGGCTTCTTGAAGTCGATGTTGTAGGAGTTTTCTCTTCCACTGTGAGCAGAAGGCGGCAACCTCCAGCTCCTCTGGATCTGAAGAAAGCCATCTCAAACCCTGCAGGAGCAGAACGACAATCAAGCTCAGTACTGGGAACACTGTTTTCAGGGTCATCAGTTTGGAGCTTATTCTGTGGGGTTCCTTCTAGAGGGCTAGGGATGCCTTGCTGGTGTCACGGTTCTCATTATACAGCATCCAAGTATCCTGTGTGAAGGGGGGTAGAGACCACCCACCCTGAAAGGAGACGAAAGGTAAAACAAAGTGCGTATTTATCCCTGTGAAATGTTCTGAGAATGTAGACATTTTTTTTTCCAATTCTCTCAGCAGTTAAGAACATTGGCTGCTCTTCCTGAGGACCCAGGTCCAATTCCCAGCACCCATATGGCAGCTCATAGCCACTTCTAACTCCTGTTCCAGGGGATCCAGCTTCCTTGGGCACCAGGCATACACGTGTACACAGACATATATGCAGGCCAAAATACCCAGACAACATTAAAATTCTTTCTCTGTTTGCATCTGTCATACACAGAACTAAACCAAGGGCAACTGGATCTGATTTAGTCTACATTACAGATGGTCCCTGACTTATGATTACCAATTTACAATCTTTCAGCTTTGAAGTAGGATTATGTCTTAAGCTATTACTATTAGGTGTGAGGGCTTGGAGACATGGCTCAGCAGTTAAGAGCACGGGCTGGTCTTCTAGAGTTAGAACCCTTCTAGAGCTGGGTTAGATTCCCAGCATACACATGCTGGCTCACAGTCATCTGTAGCTCCAGTTCCAGCAGGGTCTCACACCTCCTTCTGCCCTCTGAGGGCCCTGCGCACATGTGTACAGACAGACATGCAGGCAAAGCATTCGCACACATAAATAAAAAATCAGTCATTTTAAAAACTAAGTTAAATTATTAATGTGTCTTTTTTTCGTTTTTTGTTTGTTTGCTTGCTTTGTTTTGTTTTGTTTTTTTGAGACAGAGTTTCTCTGTGTAGCTTTGGAGCCTGTCCTGGAACTCGCTCTATAGACCAGGCTGGCCTCGAACTCACAGAGATCCACCTACCTCTGCCTCCCAAGTTCTGGGATTAAAGGCATGCGCCACCACATCCCGGCTTTAATGTGTCTTCTATTTTTTGTTTGTTTAGCTTTTTCCCCCCTTCTTTTCCCTTTTTGAGACAAGGTCTCATCACTATGTATCCCAGTCTAGCCTACAACTTCTGGTCCTTCTGCCTCCGCCTCCAGAGTCCTAGCATCACACCCAGGGAGTTGTCCCTTCAGGCATTCCAACAGCATCCATTTAAAGCTGTTGTTTAAGATATGGGAAGCCAGAAAAGTGTTGCTTTTCTGATAACCTCAGCACTCGGGAGGCTGAGTCAAAAGGATTCTGAGTTAAAGGTCAGACTGAGCTACATGCTGGGTTTGAAGCCAGCATTGGCTATCTATGCTCTTATCTCAAAAACCAAAACTTTGCTGGGCGGTGGTGGCGCACGCCTTTGATCCCAGCACTCGGGAGGCAGAGGCAGGAGGATCTCTGTGAGTTCAAGGCCAGCCTGGTCTATAGAGCGAGATCCAAGACAGGCACCAAAACTACACAGAGAAACCCTGTCTCAAAATAAAAACAAAAAAATTATTCAGCTAAACTAACTAACTAAAGGGAAATTCTGGAAACAGAAGAAAACATATCAAAAGGTGTGCAGAACATTATGGTTGTCTCATCTGCAGATTGGTTACGACTAAAGAAGTAACAAAATTAGAGCCAGGCTAATGGAAATAATGCAAATAAAAACTCACAGGAAGTGAGGTCACTGGTTTAATGGAAGGAACAGAATTCAGTAGCTAAGAGAAGATATCCTTGTGGCTGCCTGCCATTTACCAGGTCCCTGTGGCACTTACCCGAAGACAGGCAGCTTCCGCAGCCCTCACAGTCTTGGAGACAGCCTGGAGGAGCCTCTGTGCATTTTCCACAAGGAGCTCTTCAGAGGACTTGCTTCTTGCTAGGGAGGCCTTTACACTGGGGGTGTTGGAAAAGAAAGGAGTCTTTATCCCAGGTTAGGAGGCAGTCACCAATAAGTACCAGCATTCATAAACACCGCACCCCCCTCCCCTCCACCTTTTAAGACAGTGCCTCTCACTGAGCCTGGAGCTTACGAGATTGACTATAGCAGCAAGCCCTGGAGAAGCCCGTCTTCACCTCCTCAGCCCTGGGATCAGGCCTGTGTGCCACCACACCCAGCTCTTAGGTGGGAATTAAACTCAGGTCTGCCTCATGCATGTGTCGGGCAAGCACCTTACCAACTGATTTGTGTCCACAGTCCCAAGGGGAAGACTATTCTAAGGGCTTAATTTAGCATCTTTAAATGCAAACGTTATTTTAATGCTGAGGAAATGTGAATCCTATAGCATCTATAATGAAAACAAAAAAGAATATGTTGTTAATGGAAACAGCTGAAGAGAGGTCACAGGACAGATGCCAACGGCCATCAAATCATGAAAGAGAACAAATTCTGTACAGAACTGTACGCAGGACGCGGCTAAGGCTGGAGGGATTGCCTCTTCTAAGGCTCACCAGTTCCCAGAAAGGGCAAATGACTTACCTGCAAACACGCCTTCCAAATTCAAAATATTTGCTCCTGCACATGCTCTGCCTCCCCCTTTGGCCTGGCCCGTTCGTTCCCAGGAGAACCACAGTGAATGCTCTTGCCTGTTTCTCCTAGCTCCTTCTGCCAGTTGACACAGGGAAGTTTTTTTCATGTAGCCATCCCTGCTTGGCTCTATACCTCTTGTGTCTAGGGGGGTCTCACTTTGATTATAAAACTTATTTGTTTGTGGTGGTCATTTTTATGTCTGTATATTAAATAGAAAAAATATTGGCAGCTAAGCTTGAGATGGTCATGCATCTGAAAAGGTATTTCCTGGAGAACAGTTGCCAAGTTTTATTATTAATTTTTAAACATTTATTTTTATATGTAGGAGTGTTTTGCCTGCATCCACCGTGTGTGCCTGGTGTCCATGAAGGTCAGAAGAAGGTGCTGATCACCAGGAACTGGAGTTACAGTTGTGAGCTGCCATGTGGGTGCTGGGAATCAAACCTCGGTCCTCTGGAAGAACAGCCAATGCTCTTAACCACTGAGCCGTCCTACAATTTGTTCTGTGACTTCCACATGTGTTCTCTGGCATGGACGTGCATGTGCATACACTAAATAAATGAATAAATCAGTAAATGTGAAAACACTCGTCTAGCAATGTTATTTTTATTTCTCACCATGAGAATGTAAGGTAAGAGTCGAGCTGCTGCATGAGTCCCTTGCCAATCCCCTCCTGGTGCTGGGATCTGGATCACTCACTGAAGACATGAGTTTACATCAAAGCGGGTATTGGCACCACACATCCTGCTCTGAACTCCCTTCCCGGCCTCTGCCTGAGAATCAGCCTGGCTGCAGGCTTATGCTGTGAAACCTCCCTCCCCTTCAGAAAGGTGGAAGAAGAGACTCCCACTTCCGGCCACGTGAACTCCGATTCCTCTCTTCAGAAACCCTGCCATGCTGTCTGTCTCTGGTGCCAGAACCTGAACATTCCTCGGAGGCCCCACCATGCTATTGTCTGTCTGTCTGTCCATGTCTGTTTGGTGTCCTCTACTGTACCTGAGACCTTTCACTCACAATTGACAGTAGTCTTAACAGCCAAGCCTTTCCATATAGAAGACTGTTATTACTGCAAGTTTATTAGTCAGTGTGTGGCTGCGGGTTCTGACAGACTCAAGTCAAAACAAAACTTTTATAATTCTATCACGATGTTGTGTAATTTACATCAACAGGAAAGCTGTTATAGGGAGGCAATGGATGAAACTGACACAGCCCCAGAATTGAGGCATATGAAATGACTTGATCTTTTTTTGGGGTGGTGTTGTGAGACAGAGTCTCATGTAGCCCAAGCTGACCCCAAACTCACTATGTAGCCAAGGTTGGCCCTGAACTTCTGCCTTTGCCTCCTGAATGCTAGGATTATAGGAGTACACTGCCACTCTGAGTTTATAAACGAGTTAACCTTTCCACATGCTTCCTGCTGGTAGTTTTTCTGTTTTCACTCACTATCTTTGTTTGTTTGTTGAGACAGGGTCTTGAGTAGACTGAACTAGGCTTGAACTCACTATGGAGCCAAGGCAGGCCTTGAACTCCTGGTCCTCCTGTACCTTCCAAGTAGATTATAGGCTGAGATTACATGCATGTACCCCCATGCCCAGCCCAATCACTTGCTATTGATGGACAGTCGGGATTCAGTGACAGGCATCCATCTGAGAACTATGCCATTGGTGATTTGCTCTTGGTGTGAATATCATAGAGTGTGCTTTCACAAACTAAGATGGCTGTGCTGTCATTACATGATTAATCCATGGAACCGCCATCGGATGTGCAGTCTTTCACTGTCCAGCACATCACTGTGCACCATGTTTGAAAAGATAGTTGGCTTTTTTCATTAGAGATGATTAATATGAAAACAGAGGGCTAATTGTCAAAATGTCCAAGTGGTTACAAAGGAAGGGTGTCAGTCGCTTGTGTCAGAGGCTACTACCCCTGAAGTGTGGTGAGTACAACAATACAATGGAGTAAGGGCCTGTGTTCTGAAGGGGGAAGAGACCAGTGTAAACTCTAGGAGGGTAAATCATTAAACATACAAATAACTCACCCTCCATCCCTCCCGGGTCTCAGAGAAGCTTAGCCATTCTCCCCCAAGCTGCTTCCTACCTGGAGATGATGCTGAGCTGGCTGCACATGGTTTGAATCTGCTCCACCATACACAGAAGCTCGTGGGAGCATCTCTGATCTATGCAGTTCTTAGCAATGATGCCGATGAGTCTGGTGATGTTTTTCCCGGAAGCTGAGATTTTTCTGGCTGAGGCAATGAGCTGATCTTTGGTCTGTATCAGAGATGGAAATGTTAGAAGTAGGCACTGTCTTCATAGGTGTCCC